TATATATATATATATATATATGTTAAAATCTAAATATATATATATACACACAGAAAAATAAGGGGCCAGAATTGTACCTTTTGGGGTACAACAGCTTGTCCCTGGAACAGTACCCTTAAAAGAACATATTTGTACCTTTTTGTTTTTTTACCCCTAATAGGTACATATATGTCCTTTTAAGGGTACTGCTCCAGGGACAAGCTGTTGTGCACCAAAAGGTACAATTTTAAAACCATTTTCTCTGTCTCTGTGTGTGTGTATATATTATATCTCTCACTGTAGTGTATCTTCACCCCAGACCATTGATGTTCCCAAATTCCTATATGAAAACTTTACTGTTAAATGCTTTTGTTTTGGGGGAAACATTAATAAAGAATATTTACACATTTTTCCATACAACAACTATTCTGTGTTATTTACACAGATTTTTTATGTGTGATTGATTGATTTAATTTTTCACATTTATGTTACAGAAGATTTCTATTTCAAATAAATGCTGTTCTATTGACCTTTCCATTCATAAAGTAATCATCAAAAATTTACCCCTAATAGGTACATATATGTCCTTTTAAGGGTACTGCTCCAGGGACAAGCTGTTGTGCACCAAAAGGTACAATTTTAAAACCCTTTTCTCTGTCTCTGTGTGTGTATATATATTATATCTCTTACTGTAGTGTATCTTCACCCCAGACCATTGATGTTCCCAAATTCCTATATGAAAACTTTACTGTTAAATGCTTTTGTTTTGGGGGAAACATTAATAAAGAATATTTACACATTTTTCCATACAACAACTATTCTGTGTTATTTACACAGATTTTTTTATGTGTAATTGATTGATTGAATTTTTCACATTTATGTTACAGAAGATTTCGATTTCAAATAAATGCTGTTCTATTGAACTTTCTATTCATAAAATAATCAATCAAAAAAATAAATCACCATTTCCCCAAATGTATTAAGCAACTATTTTTAACATTGTAGTAAGTATTTGTGAGCAGCAAATCAACATATTAGAATGATTTAAGGATTATGCACCACTGAAGAAAGGAGTAATAGCTGCTGGAAATATGTACAGTATATGAAAATTGAAATGTAATTTTACATTACAATTTTAATGTATTTTGATTGAATAAATGCAGCCTTTATGAGAAACTTATTCAGAAAATAAATGTGTAAAAAAAAAAAAATCCACTTTTGTATTTCTTGAGTCCCTCTGTCTGTAAATGGGCCAGACAAGAAAGCAGAAACATGACAAAAGAAATTTCAACAATTTTATTAATTTTTTTGCAAATAACACTAAAAATGTTTACAAAAGCATTGTAGAAAGATTTGTGCAGTGTAAATTATCAAAACTAAAAATGAATATTACTTGAAATGATTTTGCACCTAACATGACATAAGGATTGTCATTCTCAGCAGCAAAAAACGCAATGCATCTCAGGAGGACACGATGAAGTGTTCAGTGTTTTTAAAAATCACCCTCAAAGATGTCGTGAGGAATTTACCAGCCCAAAAAAACAACTGCTACACTGCTTAAACATTTTGCTACTAAAGCAAGTGAAATAAACAAGGATGGTATGGCACTAAAAGCTCATCCCTGAAGGAGGGCATCATTCATCTAAGAAAAAAAAGGTTAGATTGCAAGTGGAAATTTCCCTTGTACCCAACATGGCACTATGGCAATCTTCCTAAGTGGAACTCAAAGACTCTCAGCCTTCCCTTTGTTATTCCTTTGTTATTCCAGTTGGACAAACAGTGTGTTGACAGCTTGAGAGTTGTATAACAGGAGATCATTACACACAACGGCTCACACCCCACAGATACAACACAAGCCTTTCTCCATCGAAGTTAACAGTTTGAAGATTAGGACAATATTCACTTGGTACTACTTCATAAATCTGAAGGAAAACAAAAAAATAAAATGAAGAAAACAGAAATGTGTTTGATGACCCCACTTGTAATATTACAAAATAATTAAAAATATATAGAAATGAACAAGACCAAAGAAAAGACCTTACAAATTCAGATAATGTACATACCATTGAACATATGAATACATAAATATTCATCTGTCTGATTATAAAACCTATTTACTTCATTATAAAATTTGCTTTTTACACATCGTTGTATTGCTGAGTCAATACATAATACTGAGTTTCTTTGCACTCTGTGGCAACACTTTACATCTTAAGTTCTTTGCTGTATTATTAAACACAATATAAACTCACATAGTATGCTCTGGAAAATATTTTGAGACTTTTTTTCAATTAGTTTTTTTCTTATTTGCCCTTGCAGACAATGAGGTTCTAATGCTCTTGTAACTGGGAAATCGATGGCATTACAGCTATCTGTGTGGAAAGCAAACAAACCAGTTATCTACCAAACCGATGTAATCTTTGGTCAAGCATATAGGGGAAAAGTCACCATAAGGACTGTATAACTGTATAGAAATGGCTCAGGTTCTTAGATCGTTCATATTCAAGTCACATGTTACGTCTCACCACAATAGTCCAGCGGGGTCTTTTACAGACAGAGCTGAGCAAAGACCATTTTTACATAAATGTATATACTAACTGCGCGGACAACAAAACTCAAGAGCCACTCCAATGGACTGGTAGTTAATTAAACTAAAGCTTGAATTACTTTCCCTCAGTTTTCGGTTCACATACAGCTGCATAAGACATGGCGCATACACAGTGTTTCCAGTTTAAACCTTGCACTAAATCTTTAAGATAAGCTAAATCCATGGCACAGGCAAATACGCAACAGTGTGCACTGCAATCCACGAAAACCGCGGTCGCAATAAGTAACAGATGGTTTACGTCAAGTAAAAGTAACAAACATCAATCATTCCAACAAGCCTCACCAAAATGGGAATGATTTACTGATACATACGAGTGTAACCGCACTCATGGGTTATGGCAACTTCAGACAGACAACCAAAAAGATTCATTTGGACAAACAGAAACGAATATGACGATTCATCTTTAGTGATATTTTGTAAAGTGTGCAGCTATCACATCCTGTTCAAGTTGATTTAAAATATGGTTCATTTTTTTAGCAATAGCGAAGGCTCGGAACATCAAGGACAGAAAAAGCAACAAAAATAAACTCAACAGATATGAGCAGTGATTCAAGAGTTAGAGTCTCGTTCAGCCACAGAGGGTTAATATAAACCAAACGTGCACAGAAAAAATGTGCAAACTTCACCGATAACCCTTCAAAAACCTGCTGACCTTTAACCCCTGATTCGACTGTGGGTTCGGTGGACTGTAGTTGTACTCTCGATATTACAGGACAGATGTGTTTTGCTGTGAAAAGGGATGGACGTAGTTCTAAGTCCCCCACTGATTGGCCATTATCTGTCTGACATTTCGTCTAGTTCCACCTTATACCTTCCTTTACCATGCAGCAGAATCACATTGTGTTCGTAAGTATTTGTAAGGCAGAAAAATTCAAGTCAGAAAGCTAGTACGATGTCTGTAATACAATGCCTTAAAGGAGACTGTCTGACCAGCCATCATCACTGAAATGTTTCTGGCATCAGAAAAAAATGTGAATCAGATACTATGAAATGAAGAGAACCGCTGAAGTCACTAGTTTCCACTTGTTGTTACACTGCATCTTGCAAAACGGTGGACGGTGACCCACCAGAGCGGTTCACCACAGTGTGACAAAAACATGCAAGCATTGACATGCCTGCAGAAATACTCACACACACACATACTGGTATGTACAATCAGACACACTCACACACAAGTTCTGGATTAGACCCAGTTTTTGTTAGCATATTAGACCTTTTAGCTCTCTAATACTTTTAGAGGAGGTAAATCAATAGTTTATCTTATAATAGTTTATACCATTATCAAAGGGTTTGACGTATGAAGAGCGGTGTTAGTTCAAGGTCTGCCTGTGTAGACCTGTATACAGTAGTGTGGGAAGAGATCTGAAACACTTTACGAGCACAGGCTGTGAACCCTTCACGCTCTCTCATACTGAAAGGGTTTATGACCCTTCAGGAACTATGGACTCTGTGAGCATGCAATGCATATATGTGTTTTCAAAAGGCAAGAGAGTGTGTTTCAGGCTTCTCGGGACCAGGCAACAGAAGCCTCTGGAAACCCAGAGACGGTTGTTCGAAACTGAAGTGGGTGCTTTGAGTTTACACATGTTTTGATTGAAGATATGGCAGTTTGAAAGGCCATGCTCAAGGAAACAAAAAAGTCACGAGTCAAATAAGTGACCCTCGGCAAACAGTGGTGAGCGTGCAGGGCCTGGTCCCCGAAGACGAATCGCACAGGTGAAAACTACCATATAAAAAGGGTGAGCAAGATAGACGTGATGTCTTTAGGCGAGACTCCACCAGTCATCTTCATCAACACTTTTGCGCCTCTACTGGCGACATGGCGATGTAAGATCCGTTCCTCAAAGGCTGATTGGTGCGGTTCTCTGGCGAATCCTCTGCTTGGTTGCTCACTTGGGTATAAGCCGTTTCATCCTTCGTCGTCTGTACAGAACATGCAGAACCATTAGCGTGTGCATTGTTAAAACCATGTAGATGTCAACATTAAATCATGTACCACATGGACTAAGTAGCTAAACATCTAAACACTGCAGAAGTACATTACAATCACCATGCAGGCAAAGCAATGAACATGATTTGCAGAAACTGGAGATATTATTCATATTCATATGAAAACATTATAATGCTTAAAATGACCAAATACAAAAATACAACAAGCAAATTTGAACAAAATGAAAGCAAAATGTGTGTATAAGGGAAAATGAAGACTTACAGCAAAAGAATGAAAAGCTTCAGTAAAATCAATACGTTTTACTTCATTCTGAATTGGAACAAAAAAAAGGGGAGGAGAAATGTTACTGAAAACGAAAACATAACAGCATTATGCATCATTGGCAGATTTCAAGTAAAAATAAATTCTATAAAAGAACTGTTAGTGTATAAATGTGCAAAACAAGTGTTTTCCCCACTTAACCATTCATTAAAGGCCATAACAATAGTTGACCAACCCAACAGATAATTACCGTATATTGCAAAGAACAACGGCATAAAAAAAAACATTTCATAAAATAATGTGCACTAAAGCACATGCATTCCCTCATGCAGGTGCATGCATGGGTATCAAAGCTAGGGTTAGTGCCGTCAAGGTGAGTGCTATTTAATTGACTTTCCAGTCTAGGGTGTGAAAAGTTTGAGGGGATTTTAAGGGCTTTTCCATACTGGCATTTCTAAAGAATATTAACAGTTACTCCATTAATATTTTTCCACGGAAAGGTATCGTTGACCTTCAAATGACATTTCTACTCTTAACTAGGCAATATAAAGCTCATACATTTTTTACCTTTCTCTGGCGGTTCCTGCAGACGAGGAAGATCAGGACCACAAGTAAAATGACCCCCAGTCCCACAATGATGACTGGGAAGTTGGACATAACTGTTACAATCAGCAGAAGCATCCTCATTTGGGCTGCAGACTCATCGTCAATAGTTGCCGTCTAAAAATTCAGCAGAAAACAAAACAAATGAACTTTCTGAACAGAAAAATGTATATTCCGAAGGAAACAAGGATGACAAAAAACTCACCTCATTGACATACATGATGGGGAAAATGGTCTCATTCAGGAATTTTGTTTTGCTGAAAAGGAAAAAAAGGCTAATGAGACTTCCATTTTTTTCACTCCAGAACATTCTTTAGTGGTTTTGTGAGACGTTTTTACTCACGGGAAGCCAGAGACTCGCTTCAGTATGACATTGAGCTGAGCTCTCTTACAGGCACGAATGGGAACCCCTGTGGTCTGCAGAGAAAAAAGAAATGGGACAATTTACTATTGGAAGTCAACCAATATTCACCACAATACACTCAGTCTTTGCTCGGTTCCACCCGAAACAACGTGTGGAATGAGACGAGTTCATCAAATACCAACTTAATCTGAGTCAATTTTCCATCACGACATGCTACAAAAACAATCACTGGGATTCTAGGTAGAGTTACGTAGGTGCAGTTTCACATTCACTTGTGGTTATCAGAGTGAATCACATAATTTTTTCCTGTCATGGTAAGGACGGGTGTATACTACTTTCAGATTATAAACCACAAGAGCTCTAACAAGTCAGTACTGTCGCAGTAAAACAGTAAAATCACAAAGCGTCTGCTTACCGGGTTGATGTCGAGGTATGTTTCATGTTCTTCCTCATTTGGGTTCATTCCGTCGATGGCATTGATGTACCTCTTATCGGCTTGGTAGAAATGAGGGAATGACACAACAATGGGTGCACCTATACAGTGAAGGGGAAATAGGAACAGGAAATAGGCATTAGTTGCTGTTCTTTTATTCAGATCAGTGGTTGACATTCACCCATCTAGGAAAGCTCTACGGTGAATATGCAATAACAACAACTTCTTTATCAGCTATTGCTTTATAATGACTGGTCATAAAGACCAATTAAACCATTAAGATGATTAAAGTCATGTCAAGCCTCAGGCCAACAGACTAGTCCAGTAGTTCAGATTTTTTTTACCTGGCCACCCCAAAAAGATTTAAATGTGACATTTTAAATTTTACAACTATAACATAACTCCATGACACTTATAAATTCATACACTTAAAAATGATTGCAAAGCAAAACAACTGTACAATTTTGAAAACTTTTTTGAAATAAGTCTCATTTATTTAATAAAAGGAACACTAAAGACAATAACATTGTGAAATATTAAAATTTTAAACAACAGTTTTCTATTTAAATATATTTCAAAATGTAATTTATTCCTAGCTCCAGTCTTAAAATGTCACATGATCCTTCAGAAATCATTCTAATGACATGTTGGTTCTCAAGAAACATAAAAAAAAAAAAAAAAAAAAGAGAATCAATGTTGAAATAGTGATTCATTTTTGTTCCAAGATTATTTGATGAATGGAAACTATAAAAGAACAATATTCAATTAAAATATAAATTTTTTGTAATATTGTAAAAGTCTTCACTTCTCACTTTTGATCAATTTGTGTCCATGCCGAATAAAAGTATACATTTCTATAAAAAGAAATCTTACAGTATATATTTCTTCAAATGCAAATGATAGACGTCATAAAGACATGTAAATGATCAACGAATGCAAAGCAAGTAAATATGCACCACTGGCTCCAGTGGAGCAGGTGACAGTTCAGACTGCAAAACTGCAGTTTTTGACATTTTCCATTATCTAAAATAACGTCCCTGCGGCATTTTCTGGGACTTTTAGTTTTTTTATGCACACTCACAGAAAATGAACCTTCCTCTTTTGTTGGCAAATGACTCAATGACAAGACAAGTCACTGACAAAACTTCCTCTTGACTCAATGACAAGTACATGAACACTCACCAAAAAAAACAAAAAATACTACTACTAGGTACTTAGACTATCATTAGCTAAGAGTAATATGTACCACCGTATCACTGATTTATATCCCATATCCCATTCCTTAACACTCTAAATATAACTATTAATGAACAGTCATGACCCCTTCTAGGAATGATGACTAATCAAAGAATGTGCAAATTTCGACAGCTGTTTCCTATCATGAGTCCTCACATGATAAAATTGAGAGTTTACATTTGTTCAATAATAATATTAGCCTACTAGTTTATGGCGGAAACAATAGAGGCTGAGATAGCGTAATCTTGTCAGAGGACACCTACAGTGAATCAAGTGCTTGAGTCATAAAACTGCACTAAAAGTTATTCATTAAGCGCTGAACTATGATTTCCCTTTCATAGTCCAAGAGTGTGCAAACAAAAGCAGAACAATTTAACTTGAACTCAGGTTACGAGGCCACCGATCAGTAACGGTAAACCCTGAAATTCAATACTATTTACACATGCTTGGTTTGCTTTGGTTGAATGTCAGTCTGGACCAGCTATTCAGGGCACCAAAATCTTTAGCACACTTAGACTGCTTTACCTGGTTAATTACCATATTTAAAAAGTTACCCTATTTTCCCCACGCAATTCAAGGAAATTGCTTCTTTTGAAAACATCCCACACCTTTTTCCACTGTAAAAACTTACTCCAACAAACACGACGGCCTTGAAGCTAAGGTGCGGTGTGACTCAAAACAGGCTTACCTTGTCGACAGACGCTGACTTTGAGGACTCCTTTTCCTAGACAGTCCCCAGCAGGCACGCAGAAGCCAGCGTTACTGGGGTTCTCATCTGGGGGAGCGAGTACATCTGAAGGAGGGGCGAAGCGGAAGGCAGGGATGCCCTTCACCTCTTTGTCAGCCACGTAAGCCAAATGAATGGATCTACATGTCATAACAAATGTAAGCAACCATGTACAAGTAACCAAGTACCTTGTAAGTGTTAAAACATGTTACTTACCGGCACAGATCAGCAGCAAAGATGTAGAGGAGCTCTTTCCTGGACAGGAAGGTGTGGAAGACACTGCCATCGGTACCATTGATCATGTTGCTCTGGTTAGACGACCACCAGTTCATCTGACTGTGAGTGAGAAAATGAATAGATGTAACCATTGTTTTTGTCCCAGGTTCTAATGGAAAAGGAAGGTTTATTACGTATTTAATTCTCCATAATTCTAATCCAAAAATATACACTACATTTCCAAAGTTTGGAATAATGACATTTCAAAAGTCTCTTATGCTTGCGAAGGCAGCATTTATTTGATTAATATGGTAAAAACAGTAATATTGTAAAATATTATTAGAATTTAAAATAGCTGTTTTAAAAGGAAAAAAGAAATGAATACTTTTTTTCCGAAAGGACGCTTTATATTGTATAAGACATTTGTTTAAAATAAATGCTGTTCTTGTAAATTTTCTAAATATTTCTATTCATATATATATATATATATATATATATTTGAAGTTGTATTTATTGGGATATGGGTCAACTGAAATCAGGATATGGGGTAACTGAGAAGCGCAGGAGCTCTTTTCTAGGACTTTATACTTTGATATTGACTTTAACTAGCATCTAATGCAGGCATGCTGTGTGTTTAACCCAATTTCCTAAGGTAGGAGAACAGACGCCAAGTGAGCGTGCAAGAATTCTCACTATGTCAGTACGCCAATGTGGATTACGCAAGCATTGAGGTACCTGATGCCGTTCCACGTGTCAATCTTGCCGTAGTCCATGTAGTTCTTCTCTCCAGTGTGGAAAACAAATTCACCCTCATGGGTTCCATTTTTCTGTGGTCAGCACATAAATTGAATTTAACATAATGCTACAGCCATTAGCAGAAAATAATCACACAAGTCACAGAAGGGGAAAGATGCCTAGAAAGTCATCAAAGAGTACAAAATAGGTTGTTTGGTGGCCATGATATGAATGCAGAGTGAATTAATAAAACTAAATGTTTTATTAATGTAAACTGCTTACTCGCTGGTTCAAGGCACTGACATTATACCTATGATTGCACAAACTGCAGATCTTTAATATCTGTCCTAAATCTAATACATATATAATCCCTGAAGAAAGTCTAAAACCCATTAGAGTAAACCAGGCCACTGTGTCAAGTCTGATACACTGGACAACATCTGCAGTCTACGACGATGATAACGTAATTTGCTTATCCTGTTCTGATCGTATATGTGCTTTAGAGGTTGTGTGTGTGCTGTTGGTTGCACAAATATATGACCCATTTAGACTGATTAAAGCACTGAATATGATGAAACTGCAGATTCTTACATTGTACATAAGGCCGAAATGCTCATCCACTTCTGGTCTCATGGCGTGGAGTTTGGACAGCAGCGGATCTTTGAAACCCCACAGGACCTCATGGACTGTGCGATTCATAAACACCTCGATGCCCATGGATCCCATCCACATAGACACAGCAGACCTCAGAAAGAAGGAGTAGGAGTTTAACTCGTTCATCACGGCCTGAAACAAGAGGGAAAGAATTCAGAGCAAATTCTTTGCATTTGGATCAAAGATAATCAGTTTAACAAATGCCATGGGCAGGCTAAATTTAAATGCTAAATTATTTGTTGCCAATGCAAAACAAAACCCTTCTTACAATGAATGGAATGTTAACCGTTATCACACGGTCAACCGCAGGATCTCCCGATGACATGTTGCGAAGAAACACAAAGCTCTTGGGATTTGTGGCAAAGATTTTCGTCCCATTCTCAAGAAAGGTGACATTTTCCCTGGGTCGATATTCCCTGTTAACAGAAAAGCATTTTATTTAGATTTACAATCAAGCCTGCATATATTTGATCAAAAACACAGTAAAACAGCAATATTGTAAAATACTACAATTAAAAAAAAAAAAAGATTACTAATTTAATATATATATATAAAATGTAAATTATTTATTTGATGGCAAAGCTGCATTTTCAGCAGTCATTACTCCAGTCTTCAGTGTCCCATGATTCTTCAGAAATCATTCTAATATGCCGATTTGCTGCTCAAGAAACACTTCTTAGTATTATCAATATTTAAATGAAAAATTTCTTCAGGATTTTTACATGAATAGAAAGTTCAAAAGAACAGCATTTTTTGAAACTAAACTCTTTTCTATCATTATTCATGTCTTTACTGTCACTTTTGATCTTTTTAATGCATCCTTGATGAATAAATGTATTAATTTATTTAACAAACATAATATTTGCAAATAATAATTTTACAAGTGCATGATAAATATTTGACATTTAGTTTAAAGTGGGTAGGTAAACGTTTCCCGTTTTCTATCTACTAAAAGCATGAGTCATGTCTAGAGTTAGGTGCCAAACTTGTTGTTACTGACAACACAGTATCGTTTAGAAAACAAAACACTTCAGACGGCCCAGAATCATGAAAATGAACATCTGAATACCGAGTATATTTCAAGATGTGTAAATCACCTGTAGGTATATGGCCCTATTTGAGTGACTTTGGGCTTCTCCTTCCCAGCCAAAAACTCATCGGAGTTGGTAACATTGAAGAAGAAATACTGCATGTAAACAGGTGGAGGTGGATTGATCCAGCCCTCCAATACTCTACTGTTCTCAGCCAGTGTGATCTCCTGTGAATGAAACAGAGTCAGAGGTCAAGAGAGAGCACCAAAGTCCCAGAAAACGCTGTGTCTGTTCAAAGAGGTTAAACTCAATGTTTAAGCTGAGTTTCAATAAAATTTAGGGAAGAAAGAACACAAAAGCTGAATGCTGATTGACGTTTTGACTGATTCGGAGATAAAGAGCAGGAAGAAAAACATCAGCATCAGCGATCCATGACACAATTGGAATTTTCCATCAGAAAGTAGATTCAGCAGTCCCACTTCTCACTTCTTGAGTGTCGTGATTTGAACTCAGACGTAGGAACAAGGTTTATTTTGACACAACAATGTCATTCATGACAGCACAAAATTTTGTAGTAACAGACAAAGCGAGGCTCCAGAGGGTGACTCGTGACAAACTTATAACATCCAGAAGGTTTTCCTCCAGAACGCTGGCTTGAAATGCAAATAACGCTATCTGGAATCAAAAGTCATGACTTCAGCAGTGTAGCAGAGCAGACTGGACCCTCAGCGTCTCAAAGGTCCTTACAGGAAAGTGATTTGCTAGAATCACTGGTTAAAGCACCACCTTAGGTTGAAAAAAAGTAGTTTGTTTGTTTCAAAATCAATCATTCTAACATAATCGGTGTCATAATCTGCAAATCACCAATTGACTCATAACAAACTGTGCATTAATTTACACTATTATGACTCTGAGAATAACATAAAGGTGTCTTTGTTCAAACAGGTCATATCATTTAAGAGTATACCTGTCTTTTGAACAGTTTGAAGAGTTTTTTTTTTTTTTTCTCGCATGTAAGCTCTGAATGGGATCTCTGTCATTAGAAGTAACCCTGAGCTTTACCATAAAGTAAAGTACTGGTATAGAGCGCTAAAGAAAATCTGTGGCTATTCAACTTGTTCAACCATGTGTAGTAAAATCAGACTAAAGCTTTTCTTTAAAAGTAAGTAATGTTGTGCCACACCCATTGACTCGTTTCTAATCTTTCATGGTTTGTCAGAGCATATTTTCTTTAACCCATACTGACAACAGTTGTTAATTACGCCTGGTTAAAAAAAGGATGATTTTGGTCTTGTACTTTAGCTTATATACACTAATTAAAGTTTAATTGGCTAAAACCACCAGACCACACCTTAACAAGTACAGATACGCTATACGTTGGGGTCAGTAAGATTTTTTTAATGTAAGTCTTTACTCTCCAAGGCTCCCTTTATTTGATTTAAAAAGCTGTAAAAACAATTATATTTTGAAATAATATATTCTAAAAATATTTTTATAAACGGTTTTCTGAATTTTCAGCAGACATTACGGCAGTATTCAGTGTCACATGATCCTTCAGACATCATTCTAATAGGCTGATTTGGTGCGGATTTATTATTATTGTTATCAATGTTGAAAACGGTTGTGCTTTTTAATATTTTTTGTGGAAACCATAGAATTGTTTGTCAGGCTTCTTTGATGAATAGAAAGTCCAGCATATATTTGAAATGTATCTTTAGTAACAATGTAAAATAAATCTTACCAACACCAAACATTTGAATGGTAATGTACATGATTGCGTTCTTTACAGCTAATTCGTTTTCTTACAGCTATTCAATGGAATATGTTTTGAACATGACTAATTATTTAAACAAAATGAATCAAAAAGGTTAAAACACGATTACAAAAACTACTGCATTGACCTCTACACACAACCGCATGCTCAACAACCTTGAGAAGAGAGATCTTTGAAGGTCCTAATGGACATCAAACTATGTTAGAAAATGTTCAAAGCCTTGATCGAGCAACTACAGCCAAGGTAAGAAAAACAACAAATGTTTGTGTTTAAATAGTGAGATAATTTGTCCTTTATATTTACTTAATGCCAGTAAAGCCGATACCAGAGCCGGTCTTCTGCTTGTTAAGGGTACCAGTAACTGGAAATTATATTTTTATACATAACTGACCATGTTATACCAAAGTCCGTAAACATTCATTCAGAGCAAGCAATGAATACATACATACATAAGCCTATATTTTAACTTGAGCTAAAAGCTGCTGCGAAAACAGCAAACAAAGGAAGTTTTAACTGTCAAGAGAGATAAAACACTGAAGAAAAACTGCCTCAGAGCTACATACTGCCTCACAAATACAAACTCCTTAAACACGCCAACCATTCTACGACCTACTCAAAAGACACACATCACCCCAGGGCTTGAAAAAGTTGTTTTGTCTAGAGAACTAAAGCCTGAAGGCTCAATGTGACATGTTTGAGTGCCACAGTTGACTTACTGAATATGAAAATGGCACAGTTTATAAGCTCCGTTACAAGGCTTTGAAGCAACTGTCAATAAATGGTACAACATCCAGCAAAGCTGACTTCTCCCACAGACCACTACAAACACCCACCCATGAATTGCAGGTTAAGGGAATCACATTGAACACTGAATACTACACTTGGTTAAAAATACTGAGGGTGGAGGGCAGAATTCCAAGTATTTTTCCAAGGAGAACCGGCTGAGACCCTCCCCCACAGGCCACACATATAGCACACCTCCCCCTGCCATATACATACTCGGTGAATGAACAGCCTGTCCCGTTACATTAAAGAGGAGGAATTCACTCTCCGGTATTTTGCACCGGAAAGCATTTCATTCGCAGGCAGGCAGACAGCACCACAGCTGAGGTGAATTAGAGAGAGGGACGGGGGAAAAAGTGTTTTCCGCAATATGATAGGCTTCGTGGTCACAGACAGCGACCAGCCCACTTTAATCAGGGTTACTAACAACCCCACATTTACATCACGGTAATTTAATATCATGTTTTGAACACCTACACGCATTAAACGGCCACAAGACTTAGTCTACGTAACGTGAAATTGTGTTGTCTGGGTCTCAGCGCGAGCAAGAACGGGAATTGTCTCCCACGTACAGAACCATTGAAGAGATTACAAGACAGCATTTAGACGTGTTTGTTGTATGATTTCGCAATGCTTCCATCAAGTGATATTAGCAACTCCGCGAGATGCTCCGAAGCCTCGTGTAGGACAACATTGGCCCTGAATCATTGTAAAAACCGGCTTTATGGCAGAACACGAGCTTTTCGTAGAATTAAGCACTTTATAAAAGACTTACCTTTTTGATCCGTTCCTGAATCATTGTTTGGAAGACTTGAGCCACCAGAAGGGCGATTCCCAAGATGAGCAAATGAGCGCACACGATCCCGGTGGCGTAAATGGCACAAGATCTTCTAGTCATTTTTGATGTTTCAAATCGGCTAATCTGTAGGGGGGGAATTACAATAATAACACTATTCTTCCTTTCTATCTCTTTTTCTCTCGTTCCGAACTTCTACTGGAGAAGCTCCGGGTATGTGTCCGTTTTTTCTCTGATCGCCTCACAGGCAGACAGGGTTTCCCTCTTCTTCTTCTAGCATTGGGGAGTCAGCGTTCACGATCCCAATGATGGGCGATTAGCGGGAGCGTTTCTCGGATGCCGAGATAAGAGACGATCAGCCCGAATAACGCAGAGGAACGGAGGTCTTCTCCCTCACTAGATTCAAATGAGCCAGTCATGCATGAGAAACACACTTTTTGGAGAGTGGGGCGTGTGTTAAACCTCCCTCGGAGCTGAGGTCACAATTTAAAGGGGTTTTCAAAACGGATTTATGTGTGCCTGTCAGAACGACTAAGTAAATCTTCTACTGCCCTGACGCAATTTATACGTTAATAACAAGACAAATAAGTGTTTTTACTAACAGCAAACCAACAGAACGGCAGATCAAATTCTGGTTTCATTGTAAAAGTGTACAACTTCGTATCTAGCCTGATCCCAAATACACTAGCAGTGCATTTAATGTATTAATATAGTACATTAAGTGCTTCATTTGGATATATGTGCGGTTAAAATATACAAACAATAACACTGCGCTGACGAATCCCCTGGAACAGCCGTTACAGCTCAGCGGGACGTTTTCTTTAAAAAAAAAAAAAAAAAAAGACATCAGCCGTGAGACCGTTAGGTCTTCATTTGAGTTCCGCTATCTACGGTCGTGTCTCCTTAAATCTCTAGTGAATGAACATGAATAATGGGCGGCTCGCAAGGTAAGCGATGATCGTCGCATCTCTTTTGTCCGAGGAGCTCGCGATTCTATTGGATGATGTCTTCCCGGACCACCGGTCTAGGACCGCCCCCGGAGGAAGGTGATTGGCCGAGGACTCAGAAGTGCGATGCCGAATTTGATCGACTGATTTCGGGGCGGAGTTTATTTAAAGGGAGCCCTTAGCGCCGAAGCACGCTGGAAATGTTGCTCGCATCCTGCACCTACATTTGACGAAGATGGGAGTGGGTATCTCACTACCACAGAAAATAAAGCTCTGTGTAAGATTCTGGAGCCGGTTTTCACTATCGTAATTAATTGCAATTTCTTTAAAGATCAAATTGAAAATATTTTACCTGGGCTACCCCTAAATCCTAACCCCAACTGCTAGTTTGGCCATATTTAATCTGCATTTACATTTTTTTCTTGTTGATATTATGTTACAAACATTTTAAAAAGTAACTTTTTGGATATTTCTTAAAATATACAGGGCTTACTGTCAGCATAACTCTTAGGAAATATGTATGTATGTATCAGCAAAGTTTTGAATTCATGCATCACTGGAGTAGTTATGACTAGAAGAAAACAACTGTGTAACCTAGTAAACTGAATTACCAACATTAGTACATATTTTAACCCTTAAAAGGACTGGAAATACCTCAGAGACAATTGTTTTATTGCTGTGCTGTACTATAACATGTAACAGATATCAGCATACCTGGAGATCATTGGCCTTCTCACCGCAGGCTGCCATGTTGCTGATAAAGATGGTGAGTTGATGCGAGAGTTGTTACCAAGACACTTGACATAGTATTTGCAGGGACACTCTTTCAATATTTTTCTCACTTGCACTTTTAAAAATACATTTCCCAAAAGGGGTTTTTGCAGCAAAGAACTATTTTGGGTTACTTAAAGAACCTTTCAGTGAACAGTTCTTAAAAGAACCATGTTTTTCTTAGTGTGAAGAATTTTTTTTTATCTCTTTGTTAATGGAAAGATTCCATGAATGTTAAAGATTCTTCATGAAACCATAGGTGCCAATAAAGAAGCTTTATTTTTAAGTGTGACCCTCCCCCCATCCTCTCAAATGGACACCTTTAAGCTTTTGAGTGCTTAATATTATCATGCTAAAAAAAATCTTCTTTCATGTAGTCAATGAGTGCACTCCTCAGAAAGATGAATTTATTGTATGCTCTATATGTTTTGACAGTAAAGCCACATTACACATCATAAAGTAACTATGGGCCTGTGAAAGCCATAAAGCTTTATGAATCCACTTTAACCGTACTTACTCGTGAACTGTTGTGAACTTACTGATAAAAGACTAAGTTAACTGCAAGTTAAACTGAAGGAAAAGACAGTTATGCCAAACCTGATTTGCCAATACTCCAGCGGGTTAATGTGACTTTTATCAAAGCTCTCTTGGGGGGTTAAGGATGCTCAGGCCAGAAAGCATCTGTGAAAATAAGAGAAGTGAAAACAAACCACTATAAGCGCCAGGAGGTAGAGGAGAAACATTGCTCTAACAAGACTGTATGCCTTCACAAAAGTAGAGTTAGTTTCAGTAATCTTTTATGAATGGATTATGTCAAAACAACTAATTCAAGTACATTCATTAGGTTTCAATGACTATTTACATTTTATATAATGTATTTATTCAACTACTGTTATATGGGAACACATAAACAACAAAAAGGTATCGGGACATATTATCTAATAATTCAGACTTTTTTCTCACAATTCGGGTTTTGTTTCCACCACAGAGAGAGAAAAAAGACTTTATGTATTCTTTTTATATATTTTATTATATTATATACATTTCACAATTCTAACTTTTTTCTCAGAATTCTGAATTGTTAGATACTACAATTTTAGACTTTTTTTTCTCAAACTGTAAGATAAAAAGTTGCAATTTCCTTTTTCATTTTTTAAAATAACTTCCCGAATTATAAATATCCCCAATACAGACAAAAAACATTGCTTGACAAATGAATAGCATGACTTGGTGACCAGAATGTACTATTTTAAAATAAAGAAATCTTTTTTTACATTACTGTCTAAAGACTCCTGTACATGTCGTGTGTTTCGATGACACAAAACTGCTTTCAGCTGCATCCTGTTGAGTGCAGGAAAAGGAAGGGTTTGAGAGGGTTATGTAAACATTTCCTAACTAAACATCTGAAACTGGACTTATTTATTTGTTTAGTGTTGTTTCGCTCTACACGTTTAAAAATGACCACACATTAAAGTGGAAAAGAAAGAATAACAAATACATCACAAAAGTACTGCTTTGCAGGAGCTGAATGAACGTTTCCTTTTTTCATTCAAATGACAAGCCTTTTGTAAGTCAGTAGGTTCAGCCATGTTTACTACGCAAAATCTTTATCTATAACCACTTTTATATCATCCTATTGAGCAGTAGCAAGCAAAGTCATTCCATATCTTAACTGTTTAACTGGAATGGATAAATAAATCACTAATTACCTGCAATGTTGCACTATGATGTTGTAAAATGTGAACAGTGTACAGTTCATCCACGTTTCTTTACTTCGTAAATCTGGTTAGCAGTGTATTATATTTTTGTCCACCTTGGCACTTTTTTACACTGCATGTTGCAATATTCCTTGACATCTATTTGTTGCAATGCAGTAAACTACATATATTTTTGATGCAATATATCATACATTTTTAAAGCTGCTCTTTTTCCTAAACCCACTTGTGGGAGAAGCTCAAAACATTTTTCGTTTTAACCTGAACTGTACAAATGCAAACGGCAAATAATACAACCATTCAAAAAAAATACAAAGGTCTTTTATTTAAAGATGGTTTCGAACATGTTCTGCCATGGATTATAGCAGAACGTAGCTTTCTTACGTATATCCCCTTTGATGAAGATACAGAGCTTGTGATTGTTGATACTGTATGACCTCTGGCACAACAGTGAGAGTGTCATGCCCCTCCTTTCACAAAATTGCATTTATATATTTCACCGGGTGCTGCACTTCTGCATATGAAAAAAGGCAGGACAAGTTTGAACTACAGGGAGAGAACAGCAGTTAAATATGTTTAATGCCTCATAAACTAGATTTGGTGCTTATAAGTCTTGCGGACATTCACCTTAGTTTTTTTTGTACGCCTACCTGAAATGGCTTCACCTTATCTTTATGACTTTCCTTCTTCTGTGGCACACAAAAAAGATACATCTCTAAGTATTTTTGTCCATAGACTCTTACACTGTGTGAACAAAAACACACAATCTCATAGCAATTCGTAACTATTTAATATTTTGGCGAATCTGTGACTAATTCTTATTAATGTTTCGTACGATCTGCTTACGCCCCAGTTATGATTATGTTTAGAAGTGAAACTTCATGCTTACATTTTTTCCTAAAAATCATATGGCTTTGTACGAATCACATTGTACAAATTCAGACGAAGTTATTACCTCGTATGTATGGAAGCTTACCAAGGGATAAAAAAAAAAAAGGTTACTGCAAATTTTTATCCCACTTCATACTTTTTTTCCCCCTTGCAATATCTCACAATTTAGACTCTTTTTTTTGCAATTCTGAGAAAATAAATACATTTAGGATTGTGAAATATAAACTCACAATTGTGAGAAAAAATTCCGAAACGTGAGATCATAAGTTGTAGTTTCCTTTTCTTAATATTTTTGTTTTATACTGCTCCGGTTGTGTGTTCACGGTGTGTGTGTGTGTGTGCACTTTGGATGGGATAAATGCAGAGCACTAATTCCGAGTATGGGTCACCATACTTGGCCACATGTCACTTTCACTTCACTTTTGTGGCGAAAACAAAAACAAACAGATGTAAACTCAAAATTCAGAGAAAAAAGTCAAAATTGCGAGATGCAAATTCAGAATTGTGAAAATAAAACAATTTCAAAACATCGACTTTATATCTCGCAATTTTTTTCTCAGAATTGTGTGGCGGAAACGGGCTTCCATATGGGCCTATAAAGGCTTGGAATGACATGAGGATGAGTAAATGATGACAGAATTTTCTTTTCATGGGTGAACTATCTCTTTAACCAGTAACAGTAATGCCTGCATGATGTGACTGATTTAGGCTTACTTGTTTGTGTTACATAAAAAAGGATGCACTTTGTGCCATCCGATGAATTATGTATGAAGGGTAGAAAGTTGTCTGTAAATGAGACAGCAGGACAGTCCTAGAGTCCTATAAGTGTCAGGAAAACTAAACAAATATAAAAACTGTGGTTGAACCTCTTCCTCCACTCAAGGAAGCTTGATATCAGGCAAATGTGTCATTCAGTCTACCGTAAAAAAAAAAAAAAGCTATAACCTAATCTGTGTTTTTATACATTATCTTTCTCATTGTTTTCAGTGTTTAAATGCTCAGTTGTTTTACTACAACCACATAAAACACTATTTGAAGTCGCTCTGGATTTTTCATTGGGATACAGCTCTATACAGGATGGTACAATGTGTTTGTTTCAGCTCCTAACATGCTCTTGGCACCGTCCAGCATGGGCTGGTGCAGACTGTGGTTAAGGAATGACTGTGGGAGTAGTGAGAAGAGCCAGACCTTTTCAGGAGATGTGATTGATGTTGCCTCAGACCATTAAGTACAATGGGAGGAAACTAATGCTGAATTTATATTTGTGAGATTCTATTCTGCAGCTCACTGAGGCCACAAACGCCCCCTTTAAGAACACTGTGTAATTGTGAGTCTTTTTTTAGCAAAAATGAGAAATAGGAGGGAAAGTAGAATTTATTTCAGAGGGAAGTGTTGTGGTAAATTATGCCCTTCATGTATGATGTATCAATAAAATGGCAACTTGGGCTTTAAAATATTGGCCTACAATTAGGTGATTTTTTTTT